GCCTAATAAAATGCAAAAAAAAGTCTCCCTCTATTGGTCAATCTAGAAAGCAGTTAACAGATTTGTTTAGTTTTAATTGTGTCTGTCTACCTTATGTTCCTCTTCTAGTTGTCTAGGAGACTCACTGCTTACCTCTTTAGGGAGATTAACCTTTGTATGGCACAGCCAAATAAATGTGTGAGAATGAGGGGTTGTATTGGTGTTTCCCAGTACTGAGAATGCCAGAGTAGTTGGCAGTTCATTCGTGACCCCTACTAAATCAAGGACTAAGCTGGAGGAAAATGAATGAATGATTGAATGAATAAATGAATGAATGAATATGGCAGGAAGGGCAGCTGCCAATAAAAAGTGCCAGAGAAATTGGCGGTTCATTCCACTGTGGTGAGCCCATAAGAATGTGAGCGAGTGAGTTTAGAGATTTTTTTTTAATATTGAGTATCTGAAATGCTCTTCTTTAATCATTTGGAAAAGATACATTTTCTAGTATAGGGCTTTTTGCCAGGATGTTTCTGTAATTTATTCCCTGATTTCCAGTGGTGTTTCTACAAATACTCAAACTATTTTAATTAAGTAGTTTTTCTCAGAAATTAAAATTTACTAAGTAGTTTTTAAAATGTTTACTTTTACTTACCCTTGAGTACATTTTTACTGCAGTATCTGTACTTTTACTCCACTACTTTATTTTTTTCTTGTCTATGAGAATTAGAAAAGTCAGTCCTGTGATTCCTGTCCAATCAAATCGCACATAGAAGGTAAATCACAACTGTTTGCAAGCATTAAAAGTGTCCAAAAAAATTTCCAAAATCTTTACATACATTGACCCATAGACTTTTTAGATGCACGTCACTGATGAGAAGATGACGGATGTTTAGTGTATGATGACTGAAATAACCTTAAACACCCAGCAGGCACAAGACGTCATCGGATTGACGTTGTATCATAATGTCGTGGGGACGTAATCAAATATCAATGCCTAATGATGTTACAGCTTGACATCGTGTGGCTGTTACTACTATGAAATCTATCAGGCATTGGATTTTGGTTGCTATAATTGATGAATATACGTCAATATTTCATGTCAATATGACGTTGGTTTAAGATGTTGGCTCGATGTTGGATTTTGGTCACTTTCTAACAACCTAAATTCAACCAAATATCAACGTCATTTGACATCATTATTGGACATCAAAATAACGTTGTCCTTAGATGCTGGCTAAAACTTCAATTTTGGTCACCTGACATCACAACCTAAATCTAACCTAATACCTGCAATAACGTCTTATGTGTGCCTGCAGAGCAATAACTAGATGCACTACAGAATGTTACTATTACACACATGCACTAATGACATGTAAATGCATCAGCTTTTTACAGTGAAATACTCACTACTCACTATTCTTGAGTACTTTTGAAAGGACTAGTTTTTACTCATACTTTTACCTGAGTACGATTTTTCAGTACACTTTCCACCACTGCTGATCTTATGACATTTAACAGAAATTATAGAAAAGTGCCTGTTAAAAAAAGCTAATTATCCATGTCTTTTTCATTTTAATTAAACAAATTCGTAATAGCAATAGTAATTTGAACACAAACTGCTGTGTTTGTTTTTCCCAGTGTAAACATCAGTTTCAGACTACATTCTCTATAATTTTGTCAGCTTATTTTATTTCTGTTTACATTAATTAAACCATGTGCATGGACTATATACAGTATATGATGTGTTTGTAATTTGAAATAAACCACTAGTTGTTTAAAGTTTTAAAATTTCTTTCCCTTTTACTGTGTGATTTAGTTAATTTGAAGACTTCGTTCTTTACTCTTTTCCAACTTTATCAAATGACCTTATAAAACCCCACAAATACAGTGGTTTTTCAAATCACATGATCATACTGTATGTTCTAAAAAAAAGAGTTTTGAGGTTTTTGAAAGGAACAGTGAGTACATTGCAGAACTCCGTCCGAACCAATACATCCAGGTAAGATTATGCAATACAGTCATTACTTTACTATGCACAGTGTGTTTTGCAGTAAACGACTCTATAAACCTGCCGTTCATTAGTACATACATTAGCTATTGTACAGTTAACCATTTACACTGTGTCTAATTACTTTTAGAGAGTCATGAAATTGGAGGTCCATCAAGTCCCACATGAAATTATCCATGTTGACGAGGCTGGCTTCAACTTGGCGAAAAGACGTCGCCGTAGGAGAAACATAATAGGCCAAAGGGCCATCGTTACCATGCCGGGCCAGAGAAGAAGTCGGGCAAATGCAGAAGACCAGGCAGTATAGAAAATTATTTAGTTTTTTATTATAATTGTGATGCTTTTTCTGTTTGTATATCTTGCAGTGATTTCCTTTTGCAAATAAAGTCTATTGCAGCAATTCTGTGTCTGTATTTTTTTACATTAACTGTAAATTTTATAAAGCAATTTTTTTCTTTATTTTTGTATTGAACTTTTGCAGTAAAAAAAAGAAAATGCATTTACTAAACCCAACAAAATGAAAATGTAGAGAGTCTTAAAATATAGGGGCAAAGCTGACATATAAACTAATGCAGTTTCTGTAAATTTAACTGATGCTAGTGTTTTTATTGTCAGTGTTTTCTGATTGACTGAATGTGTCTGTTGGAAGAGAACATGTGTTAGTGTTTTGAACAATTATGTCATTTTGAAACATGTTTGTAGTGTTTTGTTAGACATAGTGTAGTGTGTTTGTTTATTATTGTATTTTGAAAAGTAGTTTAGAGGTTTAGTTTACAATGTGTGATTTTGAGCATGAAATTAACTGTTTTGTCAATTGTGTGTTTTAGGTGTGTTGGTGCGTTAAGAGTTTAGCAAACTTGTTAAATGTATTGAAAAAACTGTCATAGCCATTGTAAAAAACTGTAAGACCACTCTTCGCAAACAAATGACAAATCTAGCAAATGTTTAGTTATTTCAAAGCATAAGGTCCATAAATAAAACTTGTTTTGTAGAGCTTAACTTGTAGAGTCTTGTATAAGCGCAGATGTCTCTGTTATTTTCTTTTCTTGGTTGCAAACTCAAAAAAGGGACCCCAGAACCGGACAAAAAGCATAATAACATGAAATCATATATTAATAACTTAAGTAAATGCATTGTATAACAAGCCCTAAACGTGCTTTACATATTCTAATGATTTTTTATTGAATATATTTTATTTATAAACTGAAAAAAGCATCGCTTTCTCTATAGAATGTTGAGCATTGCATTCAGAAAAATGTTCATTAAATAATTGCTGCCAAGAGAGTCGTCATACAAGAGTGTTAAAAAACAAATAGAGAATCAGACATGTAACACAAAATACACTGGCTCCATAAATGACTACTGAGAATTAATATATTTTAATTATTATTACATAATGTATCATACTTATGTATATATTTTTGTTAATCCAAACAAAACAAAAAATTGTGTGTAAAAATGTGTATTTTTGCAGTATATAAACTGGTAAAAAAAATAGAAAAAAAATGAGCTATTATAACTGCACATTATATATTATATATTGTTATGTATGTCTATATGAAAAATATGTTTAAAAAAAAAGTATTCACAGAATTCAATCCTATTTGTATTATTCATTCATTCATTCATTCATTTTCTTTTCGGCTTAGTCCCTTTATTAATTGTCGCCACAGCGGAATGAACTGTCAGCTCATCCAGCATAATGTTTTACGCAGTGGATGCTCAAATAAGTACCAGGGGGTAAAACAGTAAAACAGTTTAGGGGTAAAACAGTACCAATTTAAAACTGAAAGAGGTGGAAGTTTGGAAAAAATCATGCTTCAACCAAATATAGAGATTCAAAAGATATGCACTGTTAATGCCCATATAATGCTTATTTGATTGTGTTCTGCCAGAATGTAAGAACATACATTTTCTTTTGCATGCCCTTTTTTATACATCAAGCATCAAATGTTGAGCTTTCAGTTAACGCTTCCTGCCAAACAGCATTTATGTGCATGCCTGAAATTCCTATGTGTTTTGGTTAAAAGTTGTGTAACGTAGATATTGTTTTTGGTTAGCACTGTCGCCTCACAGCAAGAATGTCACAGGCTCCAGTCCCCGCAGGGCCAGTTGGCATTTCCGTTTGAAGTTTGCAGGTTCTCCTCGTGTTCGCGTGGGTTTCCTCCAGGTGCTCCGGTTTTCCCCACAGCCCAAAGACATGTGCTATGTGAATTGGATGAATTAAACTGACCATAGTGTATGAGTGTGTGAGTGAGTGTGTGTGTGTGTGTGTGTGTGTGTGTGTGTGTGTGTGTGTGTGTGTGTGTGTGTGTGTGTGTGTGTGTGTGTGTGTGTGTGTTTGTGTCTGTGTATGCGAAAATGTTAGAGAGTGTTAGTTGATTAGTTTAGCTTTTTTCTAGATTAGCTGGCGGTTCATTCCACTATGATGACCCCTGATAATCAGGGTCTAAGCCGGAAAACTAGAAAACCTGTAACCATTAATTTCCATATACTATAATTGCTTTTTCATAAGATATATCTCTGGTTACAGGTTTTCAGATTAATTCAAAGTACCTTCTTTTGTGTTCAAGAAAAAAATGACTTCTAAAGGTTTCAAATCAGTTGAGGATGTCTAAACAGTGAGTAAACTTTCATGTTTTGTGAATGAAAAATGAAATTTTTTTTAACATTTTTCTTTCAAACACAAATCTTCTTTCGATTATCTGTTGAACACAAAGGATGGCAAAATGCAGGTTGCTGGGAACCACTGACTATAGTATATAGTATACTGATGTATAGTACTATGAAAAGTATATAGTAGGTCCAAATCACAAGAATTTTCTTTATCCCAAAAATTCTGTCCAAAAAGGAAAAGAAACTCATACAGGTATAAAACCAGGGAGAATACATTAAGAGGTGATTTATTTTTGAATTATCCATTTAAGGAAAGTTTTTAACCACACCCTATAGCACACCTACTTTTCATTAAACCTTCTGCTCCCAAATCATCTTTAGACAACCAGACGAACCGATAGCACAAACACAGACAAGGTAAGCTTTTATAGTAGTAGTGCAAAAAGAGAGGGGAAAAAAGATTTTTGTTGTTTTTTTAATCAATATTAAATTATGCGACGTTGAAGAAATATAAACATATCAATGTACTAAAAAGAACGTTACTAGCGTACATGAAAGCATGATTGATGCTTGTTTTAAAGTAATGCTGTTTGTGTTGTACAAATATTGGGTTTACACATGAAGATATACAGTAGCCTAGAAAAATAACATAGAATAGGTCTATACACTCGATGCACTCGAGCCTTATCAGTTTTAATAAAAGTGCTTATATGCATGTGGTAATCGATTTGAGATTACTCGCAAGTGAATATGCATCACTCTCTTTATCACTCGCCGCTAGATGTCATTGTAACATTAAATAATATCGAGTGCGTTTTTCAATGTCACTTAATGATATGAGTACAATAAATCAATGTAAAAATTACAAAAAAAGGTGTATCTATTTTAATGCTGTCAGAATTTGAAATATATATTTATGATTATATGTGTTGTATTTGAGTGCTTGTGAGTTGCACTCCTCAAAGTGAATAGATAGCGACCTCTAGTGTAAACAGCCTTTTCATTGCAGCGATTGACCAAAATGTCAAAAGATTAATGACAATATTTATAATATTATCTAAAGAAATAATGGCACTAATAAATAAATATGCCTTCAAAAACTTTGCAAAAAGTCTAACTGTCTTCAGGGATTCTAAATGTTTGTGAAGATAAATGTATGAAAGACCTTTTAAAAGCCTTTTAGGATCAAGAAAGTCAAAATAAAAATTTGATTCAGTTACATGTGGGCTGGCATAGTGGTGTAGTGGTTATCACTGTCGCCTCACAGCAAGAAGGTTGCTGGTTCGAGTGAGGTAAATTTAGGTGCATTTTTAATAAAGGGACTAAAAAGAAAATAAAATGCCTGAAAACAGGACTTCTTTGCTCATAAAAAGGTTAATTACTGCGTTAATGGCTTTAGAAAATCTTGCATGAGTAGTTCATTAAAGTTTTTTAAAAAAAAAAAAAGGTTCACCATTACTAAAAATTTTTACTTTAAGAAATATAAGTTTTTTTGTTTTAATTGATGACTGGAAAAAATCTGTAAAAAACCAAAATTATTTTATTATCATAAGCATGAAAACATTTTAAGACCTTTATTTTAAAGATTGATGTTCATTTTGCAATGCATGTAAATGTGCCTTGGCTTGTTTATAGATATTTGTATTGGGTTACAACTTGATTTGCCATGATTTTATAAATGTAAGTGTTTTCACTTAAATCTTTTCATCTTTAAACTGTGGGTGCCCTAAAAAGTAGTGCATACCTGAAAAAAAAACATAATTTTCGGACAAATCGTGATTGCTTGGTGACATTTACAGAGTTGCTTTGCTTTTTGTTTTTTCAGACTCATCATCATGTCAGATGAAGTCAATGCCTTGCTGGACCCTCTCCTCAATCTCGACACACATCCTGGTCAGACAGCAGTACCTGAAGAACAAACTGAATCCTTTCAGGAAGACAATGTGTTGATGGAGAAACAGAGAAACTCAGAACTAAAACAGAATGCCTTAGAAATCATTCAGTTAATCATGCAAGAAATGCAAGAAACTCCCCCAGAAAAATTCAAACAGAGTAGTTTAGTCCAGGACATTGTTTATTCAAAGCTTAATGAGCTGAAGAAAAGAGAGACACTGAGAGAAGTAAAGGAGAACAATGAAGAAAAGCCAGCAGAAAAAGAAACAATAAATTTAGCAAATGAAACAGAACGATCAGAAGATACTGAAGTGTCTAATGTTGACATGAAACACAAGAAAAAATGTCTTGAGGAGCAAAATAAGCAAACCAAAAAAACAGAACATCAGGATGTAAACATAGAGGAAGAAAGAAAACAAGATATTCCTGTTCAGATAAAAACTGAGGAAGAAATTAGACTGATTAAACCAGAGATGGAAAAAGGAACAGAGTTTTGCAAAACAAACCCTGAAGTTGTTGAAACAGGCTTATTACAAAACCAGCATGTTGCTATTAAGGAAAAAGAGGTTTTCGCACAAGAACCAACTAAATATTACTCCAGTGATCCAATAAACGAAATGAAACTCATAGAATTTAATGTTGACATGATACACAAGGAAAAATACCTTGAGAAACTAAGCAAGCAATCCGAAGCTGGAGATTCATGTGATGTGAACACAAAACATAAACACAAGGATGCTAAAAAGGACGAAGAAAGAGAAATTAATATTCCAATTCAAAAAACTAATGATGATGAAAACAGATTGTTTAGACAAAATTGTGAAAAAACAACAGAGATCCTCAAAACAAACCCTGAGGGTGATGGAAAAGGTCATTTACAACACCTGTATGATACTATTTTAGATAAATATGTTTCAACAGAACAACCGACTCAATCTAACTTCAGTAAATCGATGAACAAACTGAAGCTTGAAGAGAATAATGATGAATTAATGAAGATACAGAAGCAGAAGCAGGAATTGTCCAATTCCAGTAAACCAGATACACATTCTCACAGTACTGCTAAAGAAAATGTGAGTTTAAAATCAGCAAACACTGTACAAGTTGAACATATATATGAAATGCCTGATGTTCATCTCAATAGTTCTGCTGAATACATTAATGAAATGGAATGTGTGATTGAGCAAAACAAGCAACTGGGCAACGTCACGCTTCATGTTGCAGTAACAGGTTCAACTGGAGCAGGAAAATCCAGCTTCATCAATGCAATACGTGGTCTTACATCCGATGATGAAAATGCAGCTCCAACAGGTGTGACTGAGACGACGTTGGTGCCAACGATGTACAGACATCCTACAATGCCAAATATTGAATTGTGGGATCTGCCAGGGACTGGAAGTCCTAAATTTAAAGCCAAGAAATACCTAAAAGATGTGAAACTTGAGACCTTCGATTTCTTTATCATCATTTCCTCAGAAAGATTCAAGGAAAATGACATAATGCTGGCAAATGCGATTAAAGAGAGGAAGAAGCTGTTTTATTTCCTCCGCTCAAAGATCGACAATGACATTCATGCTGAATCTCATAGGAAAGACTTTGATGAGCAGAAAGTGCTCTCACACATTCGTGAGAACTGTCACAGAAACCTGAAGGATATAGATGACCCGCATGCTTTCCTAATATGTTCCTTTGAACTGCACAAATATGATTTTCAGACATTTGTCGACACATTGGAGAAGCAGCTGCCTGATCACAAGAGAGATGCTTTGATTTTGTCCTTGCCAATATACTCCTCAAAGATTTTGGAAGAGAAAATTGAAATATTTATGAAGCAAACCTGGTCGGCAGCTGTTGCTTCTGGCTCTGTGGCTGTGGTTCCAGTGCCTGGTCTTTCCATGGCTTGTGATGCTGCCATTTTGCTGGGTTTCTTTACCAAGTGTTACTATGCATTTGGTCTGGACGAAAAATCAATAGATAAGCTGTCTGTGAGGGTCAACAACCTATCTCTGAAAGCTATAAGAAGGTCACCTCTAGTGGTCGCTATTGGGCAAAAGAAACTCACCAACAAGGAGCTGTCGGCACTAACTAGCAAAGAGGCAGCTGTTAAGTTTGCATGGAGCATGGTTCCTGTTGTAGGGAGTATAAAAACAGCACAAATGTCTTACTCTACAACACTGAACCTTCTGCGAACAGGAGTTCAGGATCTTGCTGAAACAGCCAGTTGAAAGTGTTGAAAGCTGCAGGAGTGACTGGTGTCTATTAAAACAAAACACAGACAAAAAATCTGAACTGCTGTGGTTGCATATAATTTTGATTTCATGCTCAAAGTTAAGTTGACTTTAAATGCACTTGTGAATACCAGCCATAAAAAGAAAAGCATACAAACTAAACCAATATATAGCCAAAAAAGGAAAGATATTTGTTCTGAAATCTTTGTTTTTTTTTTTTTTTTTTTGAGTTTTGCATTTTCCTCTAGAATATTATCGGTTCAAGTATTGATTTTTACTCTGCCACTTTCAATGGCATTCACTCTGAAAGAAATGTTTGTGTCTGGGGAATTTATACTTTATTTATACTGTAGCTGAATATGTTTCTGTACTAATGATAAAAGATACAAGACAAATAAAACAAAACTCGTATTATGATTTGAAGAATTTGAAAGAAAAGAATAATAATCTTGATATTTTTATGTCATTTCTTTTACTTTGTCTACTGATACAAATATGTTATGGTATTAGCTATTTGTTAATTAATTGTTAATTCTCACAATTGTTAATTCTCTGGGAAATAACCGCACACACTCATTCACACACTCATTCACTACGAACAATTTAGCCTACCCAATTCACCTGTACTGCATGTCTTTGGGCTGTGGGGAAAAGCAGATATAAAAAATACATAAAAATAAGATAACATACATAGGCCTATATAATAAAAACACAGTACACAGTAGTAGTAAAAAAGATGTATACATATAACAATCAAATAAAAATAAAATAATATATCAGATTATTATTCACTCTGTCATATTATTATATCAGTATATCACATTATTATTTAATATATCATATCATTCATATTATTCATTTATAACTATAAAAATAATAATAAATCAGAATAAATTGTACATTTAACAATCAACATTTTAGGGTAAATTAGCCGTAAAAAACAATTAATAATCAGTATATTTATGATTTATATTAATCTCTCTCTCGCACACACACACACACACACACACATATATATATATATATATATATATATATATATATATATGTTCCTGCTATTTTAAAAAGTCTCGATAATTTGTATTCCTAATTAAACATTTAGAAGAACGCGTATTAAATAAAAGGGAAATCCTTATTTTATGAACCAAAGATAATTAGCCAAGATCTAGTTATAGATATAGGTTTTTATCAGACAAAAAAGCGAGCAAGTAGCGTGTTTTTGGTTTGCAATATTATTGTTACGTTTCATTATAATGCTTATTTTATCGGTTTGGTTTAAATAAATGAGCATGAATGGACAATTATTAGTGCAATGTCGTTTCGTTTTCCTGCAATTCATTAGTTTCGTTTCCCTTACGTAGGTCTTTACACGTGACCTGCAAACGTATCAGGAAGAGAAAAGGGGTTCTTTCGGTGCGATAATAATTTTTTCTTTAACCTCACCGTTTCTGAAGAGAAGTGATTCTCCGTTCTCTAGTTTGGAACCAGAAATAAATGTAAGTAGGCTATAATTCCTTCTATAATTCCTGTCGGTTTAGTTACTTAACATATCTTGTCTCTCACTCACAATAACAGTTTAAATAAATAAACAAATAAATCATGGGACCAAGCCGAAGAAAAAATAATGCATGAATGATTTGATTTGGTACTGATGAAGTAAATTATTTAATTAATTTAAAATGTTATGTGGCATACAAGGTTATATTTGAATTTCTCATATATAAAATATGTATAATATGCAACACACACATTATATATATATATATATATATATATATATATATATATATATATATATATATATATATATATATATATATATATGAGCAATTCCAGCGCTATGGATGTGACATTTGCAGTAAAAACTCAAAACATAAATTCACAGGGAAAGTAGGCTATATGTTAACATTATATTGAAACATCTGTTTATATTTTCCAAAACAACTAACCGCAGAGTTATAGGATCATAAAAACATCAATCTGCTAACATTTTTATACTTTAAATGAGGGAAATAAACATGCGTTATGGATGTGACAAAAAAGTCTGTGAGTTTGCAGTATACTACACACTTTGTAGAAATTCTGTGAATTAAACTGCACAACCCAAATTAAATGATGCTAATCAAAAGGATAAGAGTTGGCTCACTTTAGAACAAAAATATAGAATTTTTTTTATTTGACATTTTTGCATTTATGAGAAAAATTGTTGGATTTGGTGTCTCTCTGTTATGGATGTGGCCGATGTGAAATTGCCACTTGTGTGACTTTGTCAATGTTTTCAAACTTATATAATTTGATTTACCAGTAGTTCTACTGTAAAATACTTGTTTATGCAAAAAACATAGAAACAGTTTCTTTATTTTGGTGAATTTGGTCCTTTTTTCATTGCAAGGTTGACATTTGCATGAAATTGCTTAGATAGATAGATAGATAGATAGATAGATAGATAGATAGATAGATAGATAGATAGATAGATAGAACTGAATGTTTATATATGGCCATATATGAGAATTTCATGTGGAGTAATCCATGAATGAACTGTATTTTTTTGCCTGACACAGGTGCACACTGTGAAATAAAAACTGAAAAGTTTTCCACACAAAAGGTCAGTATAAACCACTGCGGATTTCTAGTTGCTACATGATTACATGTCTGTAATCAATGATGTCTGTCATACTATCTGTTTATATTGTAATTGTACTTCTTTAATTATTTATTACTGATGGTGTTATAAACATGAACTGTTTAAAAAAACCTTGAATCATTTAGGGGAAGTGACAGCCTGAAGCTTTAGATGTTTATATTTTCAAAACGCAAATTTTGTAAGTGTTTTGGAGCACACTAATAGATATTCTTTAGACAAACTGACTGATAAATTATTTTGATTTCACTGGACCTTTAAGAGATAATCTTCAAGGCTGAATGTGAGGGTGGTGCTCAAACTTATTCAAACTAATTACACTAATAGAATTAACTGCAATTACAATCAAGTTTCTTTGAGTTTTAGGGATTTTTAAGAACATATACTTCTGAATACTTCTATAACTTTTACAGTTAAAAACATGGAAACTCAGGACCCTGCTATTGCTGAGGCAGTGCAGGCCTCTGGTGAATCAACCTTGGAAAAGGCCACAGCAAAAGCCAAAGAAAGTTTTGACCAGTTTATGAATGTCTCGCTTAACATCGCTGTGACTGGAAAGACAGGATCAGGGAAATCCTCCTTTATAAATGCACTAAGAGGTCTAAAGGATGATGATGAAGGAGCAGCACCTACTGGGGTCACAGAAACTACAATGGAGCCCAACATGTATGAGCATCCTGCAATGCCAAATGTGAAGATCTGGGACCTGCCTGGAATAGGAAGTCCAAACTTCAAAGCAGATAAATACCTTAAAGATGTCAAATTAAAAAATTATGACTTCTTCATTATTTTGAACTCCGAGAGGTTCATGCAGAATGATGTCATGTTGGCTAAAGAAATAAGAAAGCAGAAGAAAAACTTTTACTTTGTTCGCTCAAAGATTGACAACGATATTTCAGCAGAGCAAAGAAAAAAAACATTTGATGAACAGAGGGTCCTTTGCACAATAAGGGAGGACTGTCTGAAAAACTTAAAGCAACTGGGAGACCCCAAAGTGTTCCTGATTTCATCTTTTGACTTGGAGAAGTATGATTTTGAAGAACTTCAAAACACACTAGCAGAAGAGCTTCCAGTCCATAAGAGAAATGCTCTCCTACAAGCCTGGCCGGTGTGCTCTGCTGCATCTTTGGAGATGAAGATCAAGATGTTTGAAGGTGTGATCTGGGCTGCATCTCTTGCATCTGCTGGTATAGCTGTGGTCCCTCTGCCTGGTCTATCAGCAGCATGTGATACAGGGATGGTGGCTCTTTTCCTTACAAGGTGTTACTTTGCATTTGGCTTGGATGATGGATCACTGGCGAGGCTTTCAGAAAAAATAAACAAGCCCTTGGTGGGACATCTGGCTAAATCAAAGATTGCGTCTGCCATCCAAGAAAAAGCACTCACCAGATTACAAGTATCTGGTACACTGGTTGTCCTTTTCTCTGCTGAATATGTAGCAAGTCTCGTTCCAGGTGTTGGCAGTGTCGCTGCTGCTGGATTGTCCTTTGGTACTACTTATTACCTCTTGAGAAGTGGATTAAAGGAACTGGCCAATGTTGCTCGAGAAATCAGAAAAGAGGTGCTGGACAGTGTTCGATAGCTCGTAGATGTCCGGTAATTGTATTTTTGGAAAAAAGTGTTGTTTTTTTTATTGCTTTAATTGGTTGTTTATAGAGCATGTGTACATTCATGCCTCTGTTAATTAAGTTTGGGATAGTTCAACCAAATATTAAAATTTTCTGTTTATTTACTCACCCTCAAATGACATTTTTTATACTGTAGAGCAGTGGTTTTCAAACTGTGGTACGTGGTGGGCTTACCTCTAGTGGTACGCAGAAGAATCCCTGAATAATAAAAGAATAAAATAAACACACTTTTAACCCTTTGGAGCGTACGATAACACTGAGACTCATGTGATCAGACAGCATTGGCTGTTCCCTAAAGCGTACGATTACACTGGCGTGCTTAGAATGTTTACTTTAGCATGATCATGTCATCAGATGTTAAAAATCAATCTGCCTGGCGCAGAGCCAGAGGAAGAGCCACGCTGCGCTTGCAGAGCAGATACGCTCTAGAGAAGCCCTTCTGCAGACCAGTGCTGTTGTGTTTGCATTTCAGTTGCTGTAAACTCAAGTGTTTCCCCATGCTCCATCATTGGTAAAATAATTACTGCAAATGTTTTAAAATGTTCTCGTAGCTGTGTACAATAATGCGTGTTTTAGATATTTAAAGTTATTTGTTTTGTAAAGCAGCGTGTCTTTCGGTTTAGTTTGTTACCTCAGACTTAGGCAAATTTATTTGGATGTGATTCAAATGGTGCGAGTCAAAGAACATAGACTCAGGCAGCTTTGCCATGCTTGAAGCTTAAAGGTATAATATAATTAAAGTTAGGGTGCTTTCACACCCACACTTTTGTTTCGGAACGTGTCTCGATTGCCCAGTTAGCGCGGTTCGATTGGCATATGTGAACAGGGCAATCGCGCTCTGTTCCACGCCAAAGTAATCGCTCCGAGATCGCTTGAATGAGGTGGTCTCGGCTCGATTGAAACGAACCCTGGAGCGGTTCGATTGCAGTGAGAAAGCGATCCGATCCGAGCGCGGTTATATCACAGTGTTTTATGGATATGTAATAGGCTTACGGCCATATGAAGAGAGAATTATGAGTATGGCGGGAATTTTCGCGAGTCTCCGGATGCCCGCAAACAAGTGATAATCTCCCGGTAATCTCGCGTCTCCCTCCCAGTCCTCAAATAGGCATCGTCGCGCACCCTTCTCACCCCTCCCCACCGCATCTCTCCTCAGACACATCGCGCGCACCCTGTCAATCACCATCAAACCACCACCTCTCCTGATAGCTTAGCGGGACGCTGCAAAATAAACTCTGACCAATGTGAGGAGAGTTTACTCGCACGTGACTTGTTTTAGCTATTTTGGTCCGTTTAGAAACTTTGCAATGTGAAAGCGAACCGCTCCAAGAGCAAAGAGCAACAATGTAACATTTATAATCTCTGTTTCGGAACAACTGAATCGATTCACAGGTGTGAAAGCACCCTTAGTCTCCATGTGCCCAAACTAAGAAACCGCGAACCATACCCCAGTCTGCTTGAAAACAGTGGTCAGTGCATGGTTAACGGCGAACTTAACGATTCACTTAAGATGTAATCTCATTCGCACCAAATCACAAAAATACAGCACGTATGAATTCCTATGAATGAAGTCAAGCACTGTACTGTATGCATTTAATCACTGGCTTTTCTGGCAAACATAGGCCTACTGTAAATGACGCGCAGCAGATCTAATTTCTGATTTAAATATGCAATTCCAAATAGTATATATTTAAAATACAAGGTAAATTTTACATTTCAAAGAGATACAAATATGGCATATGTACATGCAAAGTAATAAAAAATGTATAAAACAAATTGTATTTTACGCCTACTACGGTACTGTATTTTAATACTGGTCATTATGGTGGTAATGGGGAAGACAATTTTTTCTGAGGTAATACTTGGTGAAAAAAGTTTGTGAATCACTGCTGTTAAGGATTAAAGAATATTTTTAGATGAAACTGTGGTAATTGCTGGTTAATAGTGCAATCATTGGTAGCCATCATCGCTATGAAAGTTAAAATATATACTGTGTATATCATGGAATTCAAAATGCATGTTTTTGGCTCTTGAGGATTAAAGGTCTTATGAAGTGAAACAGATGGTCTGTACAAGGAACTCATGATTATTTTAAATATTAGTACCTAAATAAAAGATTATTAATTATTATATTTTAGGGGGTGAACTATTCATTTAACTGTCATCTAATGTCTGATTACATTAGTTCAAAGGAATAGATTTTAATGATCTTGTGGATGATTTTGTAAGTCATTAAAACATTAACACAAATGTTGTTTAAATATGTTGAGTTCATTTTCTATGCCAAAATCAAGTCTCACAAAGATTTGTTCTTATAACATTAAAACATGCAATAAAAACATGTTTGAAAACCCTTGTGTTAAATGTTTATAAATGTATTTCAACTGCACACCAATTATTTAATATTGCTAATAAAATAATTTCAACATATTCTCAAACAGTTATTTATCTTTAAACCTAAGATTAAACCTACAAATGTATATAAATAAAGTCTAGAGCCCATTTAATATAAATATACAGTTTCATTTAGGATATATAAAGTCACATTGTGAGAAATAAAGCTGCAATTACAATAAAAAGGTTGCAACTGTGGGACCTCAAAGTCATAAAAGGAGATATGAACTCATAATCATGTCAAAAACAGGGTGTAGTTGTCCATGGCCAAACAGCATGACTGTACTCCATTTACCATGCTATTTATAGTCTCAATAAAATGTTATGTCTTTTACAGTGCTAAATTTAACCGGGCACAATGACAGATGATTCTTCTGCTGACATGAATTTCTCTGGAGCTTTGCAGAGATTGGGTGAAAGTGACCCAAATGCAGCTGCTGTGAAGGCTAAAGAAGAACTGGACCGTCTTGACAGTGTGACTCTGAATATCGCTGTGACTGGGGAAGCAGGAGCAGGAAAGTCTTCCTTCATTAATGCGCTTCGGGATCTGAGTGATGAAGATGAAAACTCCGCACCAACTGGACTGACTGAAACCACAAAGAAAGCTACCATGTACACCCATCCCACAAAGCCAAATGTTAGACTGTGGGACCTGCCAGGCATTGGCACGCCAAATTTCAAGGCAAACCAATACCTCAAAGATGTCAAATTTGAAACGTATGATTTTTTTATCATCATTTCCTCAGAGAGGTTCAAGGAGAATGACGTGTATCTGGCCAAGGAGATTCAAAAAAAGCAGAAGAGGTTTTATTTTGTTCGAAACAAGATTGATAATGACATTTGCTCAGTAGCGAATGGAAAAATCAACGAGCAGCAGCTGCTTTGCGCAATCAGGGAAGACTGCTACAGAAATCTGAAGGAAGTAGGAAATCCCAAAGTGTTCTTGATTTCCTCTTTTGACTTGAGGAAGTATGACTTTGAAAATCTGGTTGGTACTCTAGAGTCAGAGCTTTCAGATCAAAAGGGATTTGCTCTGGTTCAGTCCGTGCCTGTGTACTCTCTGGCTATGCTAGAGAAAAAGAAAGCATTGTTAGAGAAGTTCATTTGGCTCGCAGCATTGGCCTCAAGTGCATGTACCTTAGTTCCTAACCAATTCATATCTTTGATCACAGACAAGGCGATACTGATAGTGTATCTCATAGGCTGTCATTACGCTTTGGGTTTGAATGAGAAATCGCTCAAACAGCTGTCAGAGAGAACAAACAAGCCTGTCTCCCTGCTGAAATTGGCTATAAAGTCACCTGTGTCACTGGCAGTGCTAGACAGAATGAGGATTAGTCCTATGGCAAAACCAGTGAAAAGTTTAGAGGATCTGCTTGATAGTAAAAATCTTGCAGTCAATGTTCAGAACACAGCTGATGCCTTCAGGAATAGTCACACCAACCTGACTAGAGCTCTAAATGAAATGATCAAAGACATGAGACAAGTTCTTCAAGTGGCAGGTTTGGACGAATAAAATCATGCTAATGGACGATGTTTACAAATGAAATGAGAAAGTTAAACTAAAAAAAGTTTTAGTAATGTTCATATTTTGTCTTGATATGTAATTAATGAAACTGAATGCATACAAAAAGCACTTTAACAGTAAACTTGGTAAAAATGTGACTGTATACTTTTCAAGAATATGTGGTTGGTTTAATAAATTTTGATTATTTTGATTATTTTTATTGTACTTTTGTAAACTTATGTTGACCTTGTTTTAGAATGCATACAAGAGCTTTAGGCCAAGGGTCGTAATCTTTATCATCTTGTAAGCAATGAATATGTAGTTCATATCCTATTTTAATCATTATTATTGGTGTGAATTGTTTTCTACATATTTTCAGTTCAATTATACATATGAATCAAATGATAATAAATACCATAGTGGCAGGTGTTGATTTTCAGGATGTTCTAGTTTAAATGATTGTATGTGTATAGCACAAACAATGGGATTTTTGTTTTACTATACAGAATGCATGTGGTGTGTGGTTTACATTAAACAAAAACATGAGTTTAAAAAATAAAAATGATATCACTTTATATTAAAGTGTCCGTGTTATACATGTTCCATGTAATCATTGTAATTACAAATGTTTATAAATGATTACAGCAAATAATCCTAAAACTAACCCGCACGCTAACACTAACAAGCAACTAACTAGCAAGTACATGTAATTAATTTACATTAGTCAATAGTTAAATGAACAGTTACATGGTAACAAAGTCATCTTAAGATAGCAAACCTTTAGGCTCTTTTTTGTTTCATGGTGGTACTTAGTGTGCTTATGGAAATATGATACAGTCGAAGTCAGACTTATTAGCCCCCCTTTGATTTTTTTTCTTTTTTAAATGTTTCCCAAATTATGTTTAACAGAGCAAGGACATTTTCACACTATGTCTGATGATATTTTTTTCATTTGGATAAAGTCTTATTTGTTTTATTTCAACTAGAAAAAAAACAGTTTGATATTTTTTAAACACCATTTTAAGGACAAAATTATCAGACCCTTTAGGCTAATTTTTTTCCATAGTCTACAGAACAAACCATCGTTATACAATAACTTGCCTAAAAACCCTAAAGCCTTTGTAACTTTAAGCTGTATAGAAGTGTCTTGAAAAATATCTAGTCAAATATTGTTTACTGTCATCATGACAAAAAAAAACAGTTATGAGAAATGAGTTATTAAAACTATTATGTTTAGAAATGTTTTGAAAAAAACTGCTCCCTATCAAATGGAAAACGGGGGGAAAAATAAACAGGGGAGCTAATAATTCTAACTTCAACTGTATATTGCCAGTTAAACTCAAATTTTTAGAGGTATGCTAGTCATAAAAAGCTGATGGGTGTGTGAATATAAGATGCTTTAGTAAGAAAGAAAAAAGCCCAACCCTTTCTTTACAGGTTTGTTTTTGGACGTTTTAACAGGTTTATGACTCATTTGTGATTATAAAGTCTTTTAAAACTTTGTACGGTCTGACTGAGCTATCACAATAGATTATTCCAGTTCTGCTTATCACTGACACCTGGCATAGAGTCACAATGTATTTGTTTGTGTTGTTACCCAGAACAACACATACAGCATTTGACCTGAACAGTACACACAGCATGACTAATGACATCTTGAGTAATGTAGTTTCAATAAAACTATTTCTGATATTATGTTACAGTATAGGTGGTGCAGTGGGTAGCACGTTCGCCTCACAGCAAGAAGGTCGCTGGTCTTGGCTAGGACAGTTGGCATTTCTGTGTGGAGTTTGCATGTTCTACCAGTGTTCAAGTGGGTTTCCTCCGGGTGCTACGGTTTCCCCCACAAGTCCAAAGACATGTGGTATAAGTAAATTGGGTAGGCTAAATTGTCAGTAGTGTATGTGTGTGTGGATGTTTCCCAGTGATGGGTTGCGGCTGGAAGGGCATCCGCTGTATAAAACTAAGCTGGATAAGTTGGTGGTTCATTCTGCTGTGGCGACTCTGGATAAATAATGGGACTATGAATGAATGAATGTTACAGTATACCTCACAGTCTGTTTTGTGGTTTTCATTAGAGGAGATACATTTTTCATTAAAAATAAGGAATAGAACAAGCAACGTAATGAGAATGTCATCTGAGTAACAGCGGGAAAACATTATGTAGTGCTTGTCTAAAAATCTGCATACAACTATTACAAAATGCTGAATTTGATACTTTATAGCAAACCAACATTTGCAAAGAATTTTCTGTTTTTCATATAAACATTTAAAATTAGTTTGCAAGAATTTGGACAAGGCAATCCCATCAAAATGTGGTACCTTTTCTGCATTTTAACAACATTTCAACACAATTTCAAAAAACACAATCTGTCACAGACAGAAAAAGTCTGAATAATATAATGGATAATAATAACTATTGACAAACATTTGCTAATTACATGAAATGATTACATTGCACACTAGTTGTAAACATCAGAAAGAAACATGCCTTGAAAAAGTGATATTGCTGTTTGCTTTGATATATTGTTTTTATAGTTTTACATTAAACATTAAATTGCACAAAAGTGATGGTAAAGATATTTTTAAGGTTAAAAAATGTTTTACTTTATTGTCCACAAGTGGAAATTTTTCTTTGGCTTCACCACACACCCACATCAGATTCACATTACACACATCACAGAAAAAAAGCAGGCAACACAAATGCATCCAATGTCATCACATAAATCACATATAAAAAGTCAATTTTAACCATAAACATATATTTAACATTTTAATGGCAGTCGGCACAAAAGAACATTTGATACACATTTTTCCTTACTTGAAATTTTAGATTTAAAGGATGGGAACAATCTTCAATAATGGCATGTGCTTTCTGCTTCATTCTCATTGAATAAATTTCATTTGGTTGTCTTTGTGCTTTACCTACAACTGCACTGGCAACTTTTACTACGCAACCCAGTTTTGGCTTTTCCTTAATGTTATTTAAAACAAATGCCCTTTTTACTTTTGGCTAAATAATTATTTTTTTAATGAAAATATGCAGTAGAAAAAATATTTTTAGCAATTATAATAACAAGGGCGATGCTGTGGCGCAGTAGGTAGAGCTGTCGCCTCACAGCAAGAAGGTCGCTGGTTCAATCCTCGGCTCAGTTGGCGTTTCTGGGTGGAGTTTGCATGTTCTCCTTGCGTTCGTGTGGGTTTGCTCCGGTTTCCCCCACAGTCCAAAGACATGCCATACAGGTGAATTGGGTAGGTTAAACTGTCTGTAGTGTATGAGTGTGTGTGAATGTGTGCGTGGATGTTTCCCAGAGATGGGTTGCGGCTTGAAGGGCATCCGCTGCGTAAAGATGTGCTGGATAAGTTCATTCCGCTGTGGCAACCCCTGATTAATAAAGGGACTAAGCTGACAAGAAAATGAATGAAAATAAGAAGGAATATCAGGAACAAAGGACCAGTACCACCAATGAAAAATGGTCAGTAGCAAATCTGCATATAAATATGAATTTTGAAGGATCATGTGACACAAAAGCTGCTAAAAATTCAACATGAATAAATTGCTTCTTAAAATATATCAACAAACAGTATATTATTTTAAATTGGAATAATATTTCACCATATTATTATTTCTATATTTGAAAAAAAATTATGTAGGCTCGGTGAGCATAAAATTAATGTTCCCAAATGTTTAACTAGGGTATCTTTCATATTTTTCTGATATTTTTACAAATTTTTCTTTACTATTCTGCAAATATAATATTTTTATTGGATATGTGATTGTGATAAATGTTGACAGTTGCTTTAAAAATATGCCACATACCATGGGTGTCAAACTCAGTTCCCGGAGAGCAGCAGCAGCCCAGCAGAGTTTAGTTCCCATGCTGCTTCAACACAATTAGCTGTATATTTCCAACAAGCCTGAATGACTTACTTCGTTTGATCAAGTGTGTGTAATTATTGTTAAAGCTAAACTGTGCATAGCTGTGGCCACAAATAATATGTCTGTTTATATAATAATAATAATAATATGTTTGACACCTGTGCTATATACACTGCATGTGTTGTTTATTCATTTTAAATAAAAAATGTATTTATATCTGCTGATTCCTGTATAATAAAAATTTATTCATTATTTTTAAAACATTTTCTGTTTATTTTAGTTTTTTTTGCCAAAACAATAAAATACATTTCTCTAGAGGATTTATATTCTTTCTATTAATAACTAATAAAAATAATTTCTTTTTAATAACAGTAAAGAATACTAATTAACTTTAGTAACACTACAATAACTACTATACGGTATACCGGTAATGTGTATGCAGTATTATGCCATGAGTACAGTACAGTAATTATGTGTAAGCAGTTTCCAGTTAGTTACTGCTACTGCTCTGTGACAGTATTTAACTGACAACACTGTTGCTAGTAACTCACTGTTAACTAGAACCTAAAGTTCATTGATAAACTTTGATGTTGGCTTGAGAAAGTCAAACGTTTTTGGCATTGTTAGGTGGTTGCTAAGCAGTTGCTAAATGGCAATGCTCGTGTACATGTTTGATCAAATGCTAATACTCAGTAGGCATTTCTAGCATATGTTATTGCATTTAGATAATCATTCATAGCATGTAGCTAATCGTTATTAGTACTTGGCTTCCATTATCATTGTTACCATGCATAGTACACAGGAAGTCCCATTTGCTTGCATGAGTCAAACAAGCCAATGCCCAGGTCCCTACGATGTTCTGATGTAGAGATATTGCTATTTTTAAATGGTTGCTAGGTTATACTGTTTTATTGCTATGGGGGCATTTGACAGGTTAGTGATGATACATCAAAGATTCTTGGCAATAAGAGTGATCTAAATCAACCCCGATGTTTCTATGACAGTCTTTATGAGTGTCAAAAACTGGACTTGAACATTATGTATTCCTGGTGTTGGGTTGTGGCTGGAAGGGCATTCGCTGTGTAAAACAAATGCTGGAAAGTTGGCGGTTCATTCCGTTGTGGCGACCCCTGATTAATAAAGGGACTAAGGGAATGAACATTATGTAAAAATGGCTTGCTGTATTTTTTTGAAAATACAATGCTTTATAAGTGTGAAGGTGATACATGCAAAAATGGCTTGCCATATCAGTAAAAAATATGGAGTTTAAGTCAAAAATGGCTCGCCGTATTTTGAGAAAAATAATGCTTAAAAATTATTTATTGGAAAACTATAAGTCTGATAAACCTTAAAGATATAGCAACAAAATCTATCGCATCTTAATACAGCTTTTGGCCAAATTTGGGGCTTGTATAATTTTTTTATATGCCAGGATTATAAAAATTTAATATTTAACATTTTTTATTAAAAAAATGATAAGTCTTACAGGCATGAGGAGATATAGCAACAATCTTGAATGCAGAAGGCACATTTTGACCATATTTGGGCCTTGTGGCATGAAAAGCCTAGGAGGAGATACGTTTGTTTTCAAGGACAGAGTAGTATAACAGTATGTTGGCTTTCTCAAGCCAACATAAATATCTCTTACAGTGACTAACTGGCAACAGTATGGCCAGTATTTTACTGTAAAAAAAA